CATAGGTCACCTAGTCCACCTCTCAACCGAGTCGGGATCATCCCTATCCAAACCATTCTATACAAATCTATTGTCTAACCTATTAGCAAAACTAAACAGTTAACCTTGACACAGCCATGAGTTATAACACCCTAGCCTGCCATTGGTAAAGAAGGGAAACACAAGTGGCCAATGTTCTGATGCTACAAGGGTTTTTTATAAACACACTTGAGTTATCCAGGGAAGAGGGTCATGCCCCACTACAGAAGAAGGCAAAGACCCCTACAGTCTGTACCAATCTGACTATGGGGTAAAATTCCTTTCTGATGGTAAATACTGTGATCAGTCTGTCCCTGAGTGGAAAGGCAAGACCCTCTAGCCAGGAATCTCCAGGTTTATGGGACCCAGGAGCACTGGCACAACCCAATTAAAATCCCCAATGTTGGTTGCAGGCCACACCCAATGCTTTTGAGGAAGACAAACCTTCCCTGCCCCCTCCCCAACACACATAGCAATAGGAGGGGGGAAAAATTCCTTCCTGGCCCCATATTGCAATCGACAAATCCCAGAAGCATAGGAAATACCCATAGTACAGGATAGGCATAGCTAATTCTAGATCACCCCTGATCAGTGCTTACCCAAGCTCTTCTTGAGCACCTCTGTTGATAGAGATTATATAACTTCCCTAGGCAGTCTATTCCACTGCCTTGCTGTTCTAAAAGTGAAGATGTTTTCCCTGATATCCAATTCAAAACTACTTTACTGCAACTTCAAGCCACCGTTCTGCATCCTGCTCTCTGCAGAAGAGAAAAAAGATTTCCCCTCTTCTTTATGGCAGTCCTTCAGGTGTTTGAAGATTGTGCTCATGTCCCCTCCTAAGTGCCTTTTCCACAGCTCTTCAGACTTCAGAGCCCTGCACCAGACTCTGGTATCTGTGTTTTAGAAAAAGAAGATTGACTTATTCTCTACACTTCTTTAGTTCCATGTTGCAAAAACACATTTTTCTGTATAGCTTTCAGTTGGGAATTGGAAGTAAGAGTCAAACTGGAGCTATCTGACAAGCAAAAGTCCTATGATAAATGCCCTCCTTTTAGTCACATTGCAAGTTCAGCCATCTCTTTGTAACTCTGAACTTAAACAGCTGCTTCCTCCTTCAGTGCCTAAGGTGGAGTGGGGGTGGGTGGAGGGGAGGGAGGCAGGGAAGACAGGGGCAGGAATTGTGCTTGGAAAGGAAAAAGGGGAATATTACCTGCTGGGGGTCTCTTTATTTGAGCAGCAGCTGCTATTGCAGTTACTTGTCTTCTAGCAACATGAGTTTGGGCTGCTGCCACTGAGGCACAGGTTGCTACCTGGTGGTAGCAAAAAGCTGCTTCTGGTGCCCCTTTTGCCCCCACCCCAGGGCAGGGCTGTACCTCCCATGGCAACGCCTCTCAGGGGACCATCACTTTGCCTCCTACCCTCCAGATGCACCACTGAGCATGCTACTGCTGCTGCTACCCCTGCCCAGCTGCACCAGCCTACCCTAGAAAAGACTCCTGGGGAAGAAGAGACCATATGAATGACCCCTTGAAGTTAGCACCTGGGGCCAGTGTCCCTCTTACCCTGCCGTACTTACACTACTGCAGATAGCTAATGCTTCCTATAATTCTGCTTGGGAATCCAAAATGTGACAATTTCAGCTGTGCAGTCATTTTTCTCCACACAAACAAAAAAGGCAATTTATTGCTACAAAAAAAATGGATTTCTTGTCAGTTATTTTGGTGATAGTCTACAAATCTTAACATTAATTAGTATTTGAGGCAATGATGCAAGCATATAGCTGCCAGATGGATCCATTTTACTGGCCACTTGATTAACAATGTGTGGGTGTTCACACACACATACACATATTTACATATGCAGAGTGTTCACTGTGGCAAAATGACACTAATAGCTCACAGAGCTTGTCTCATTAAAATGACCTAATGATAAGATCATCAAAATAAATTCCTCTTGCTATACTTTGAGTCATGGAGCTGCCACATGAGTACAGACTCTGGTGTTTCAAGTTATTCCTCTCTGCAGTGCATCTTGGAACTTTAAATAATTTGTACCACAGCTTAAGTCCAGAAGTTGAGGAATAGTCCTGGGGGAAAAACTCTGATCTTCCCAAAGGAGACTGAATAAGGATAAACAACTGACCATGGGTATGACAGATTGTTGATTTTTAACCGAGTTCAACTGCACATCAGTGATTTAGATGGTACATTTAAGGAAATGAGTGAGGGCATATTGGCAGGAAGAGAATTTTCTGTCTTCATGCAGAAGATACACTCTTTGTTCCATCATTCACTGAACCAATAATTGAATAATATTTTGTACTTCTACATCACTTTTCATCTGAACATTTCTGACAAGTTTTTAAAAAAGGTAAGGCTTACAGAAATCACTAGAGATCAGTGAGTTTTCACTTGAACCCATTTGGCAGACGAGTAAACCAAGAAACAGATGTCAGCTGATGTAAGCAGATGTAGTGAGTAATCATTGAAAGAGTTTGACTCTGAAGTGCACTGCTAAACTCCTGCTGTGACACGGCAATCTCATCTGCATTACTTGTACTCATTGAACAAACCTCATACATGTAGAGAATTATATCAGTGATACACAAAAGAGAGAATTCATGTCAACACTTTCTATTATGCCAGCCACCTTTTAAAATTATGAATGTTCTTGCTGCATCTTATCAATCACAATTATTACGACTACAGCAGTAGATGTACTTGTTATTTATGTCTGACTTCAATGGGCAACTGCCTACCCAAGTGACTGTAAGGCTAAGTACAGACAGTCAAAAAGCCTAAGGCTAAATCAATTCAATCTTTGCGGGTTAGTCTAAGCTGAATAGATTGAACTGATAAGCAAGTGAACAGACATTTGCTTTTGTTTCTGGAAATGCAGCCACATGCCTGCAGTGGCTCAGACCAGAAGCCAAGGGGCACTAGAGCATGTCACCATGCTTGGCTGGAGCAGATAGCTTGGGCCAAGGCTAGCCCACCCACCCTGCAAGAGGAGGTTTGCAAGGGAGGTGCAAAGCATCCTGACATGCTGGGGGACTGTGCCTTAACTTGAATATGGAGGGGATCTGGGACAAGTTCAATAAACTGATTTAAACTAAATCAGTTCAGTCTGATACTACATCTATCCAGTTTTATTTTACACCAATTGTGGCCATTTTGAAATCGGTTTATGTGCAATGGATATCTGTTATGTTACAGATTTGTATTGGTTTCCAGTCACTTATGGGCTAGGGACAGACATTCAAAAAGCCTGAGCCTGAATTGATTCAATCTTTGTAGATTACTCTAACCTGGCTAGGCTGAACCAGTTTGTAATCACAAAGGTATCCCCTCTGGAGTGCATAAACGCAGGCACATGCTTGCAGTGGCCCAGGCTAGAAGCCAGGGGGTACTAGAGCAGCCCTAATCTGCCTGTTGATTAGCTCCAAAAAGCCTGTCTGCCTTTGTCCTCTCCCATAGCACGGACCATAGCCAGCATGTGGTCTGCTAGGTAATGCTGAGATGTGTCTGTGTAAAGCAGAGGGGTGGGGGGAATAATTCCTGTTTAGCAGGGAGAAGCCAGACAGATGCCTGCAGTCTCTGCCAGAGCTTCAGCAAGGGAGCAGAGGGGAGAGGCCAGCCCTGCTGTGGAGCAGAGAGCCCCACCCAGCCCAGGGAGCATGCCCGGATGCTGGAGGAGTCTGGTTTATCTTAAACCAGCAAGGGGTCTGGGACAGACATTGCATAAACCGGTTTGACCCAAATCATTTGAGTCTGATACTACATTCAACCAGGTTTAATTCAAACCAGTTTCAGCCATTTTCAAACTGGTTTATGTGCATTGAATATCTGTTCTGTTACAGGTTTAAACCAATTTCTGATTACTTGAACTGGTTTATGTCAAATGTCTGTCCCTAGCCATACTGGTTTATGTGTAATTTCTGTCCCTAGCCTAAAAGAACAGCACTATTTTCATGCTAGGGCTAGAATAGATCTCTGGAGGTAATCTAGTCTAACTCCCTGCTCAAGGCAGAATCATCCTAGCCTAAGCCATCTGAGACAAATATTTCCTTTGTCTGCGCTTATAAACTTTCTATGACAGAGATTCTACAACATGTCCAGATAATCCATTCCAGTGAATAACTACTCTCAGAGTTAGAAACTAGAAATTTAACTTAACATTTAACTTAATATTTAACTCAATATCCCTTGTAGCAATTTAAGCCCATTGCTTCTTGTCCTGTCCCCTGACTGGAAGATGGAAAAATGGAAGATTCTCCCAATCTTTGGTTGCTATATAGGTTATATTTTCTAGACCCCTAATCATTTTTGTTTTCCCCCTTTCACTTTGTTTACTCTTTTCCTGAAGTGTGATGCCCCAAACTGGGCACAGCAGTACAGGTGTGTGTCACCAGTGCTAAAGAGAAAAGCAGAATAATTTCTAGACACGTGCATTTGACATTCCTATTAACAGATCCCTGTATGCTATTAGCTTTTTATGGAACACTATTACACTGCTTACTCATACCCAGTTTGCAGAAAGTATAACCCCCAAGTCCCTTTCTTCAACACTGCAGCCTAGCCTGGCATCTTGGTAATTATCCTCTGGGGTCCCTTCCCTTCCAGCCCTGCCACAGACACACACACAATGCTACATTGTAAGCTCTGACAAAGGGAACATCTTTTAGTTCTGTGCTTGGACAATAATTTCCTGTACTAATATTGGGCCTCCATTAGCTACTGTAATACAAGTGGCAATAGTAGTAGTAGTAACAACTACAACAATAAAAATGTATACTTTGGGGCACAGACTATCTACTTTGTTATTTATCTGTACAGTGCCTAACACAATGGGAACCTGATCCCTGATTATGATTCCTGTCCATTACCACAGTATAACTAATTATTATTATCAAATATAAATCAAATCACATTCTACTTATTTACTACAGAGCTTAATTATTCTTTGTTTTGGTTCTTGCACAGATTGTTTCACAGAGGAAACTCTCCAAATCCTTACTGAAACATGGGAACACAGCAGGGAAATCATCCATAACAGTAAGCCATGCTTAAATACATTTTTTTGTTGTATTTAAAAAGATCTAATGTGACTAATTTTCCATAAAAGCATCCTGCAAAGTTGTCAGTCTGACCCTTAATTGAAAAATGTTTGGATCCTTCTGATCAATTTAAATGTTTTTGGCAAATATTTACAATACACAAATGACAAGAAAGTAGTGTGTGAAACTTACAAGGGCTGTGAAATGTATCTACATAAAGGAATCTGTGTTGTGGGAAAAAATGTCATTTGATTACTTCTAATCCAAGCTCTGAATCCTCTAAAAATGTACTTAATCCTTCATTTTGTAAAAACTATATTTACTCAAATATTAGACAGTTTTCCCCTTAATCAGCATGGGAGGAAAAACAACCCTATCATTTATTTGCATACAAAAAACCTTATGGAATGCATTGTCTATCATTTAACTGCTGCCAAAAGCAGTGTGTGCACACTAATGGAAACCAACTAGGAAGCTGATTTAAATGCACCCAGCACTGAGCATGACTATAAAACACATGGCCCATATTGGGCAAACATTTTTTTTCTTTTTAAAATTTTGTTTCCAGGGCCAAATCATAGTTCCGAATTATATTGGGCAAAGCCCACTAGTCAAGTTCCAAATTTTGACTGAGCAGAGCTCACTTGTTCAACTCTGTGTGTGGTTCTATACCGGGCAAGTATCCTCTCTCTCAGACCCATCAGCCTTGGGCTCTGGATACTCTCCAAATCCATGGCAGGCATCCTACGTGCAAGCCCCAAGCTTGGAGACATTGGGGTTCAGAGGCTCCTAAGTCTCACTTGCTCCTAGTCAAAGGGCCAAGGAGTAAGCCAGGGGAAAAGCATGAATGTAGTCTCCCATTACCCCAAAATTGTACAGTCAAGTTTTCTGCATTTTAGGAAGCTCACAGGGATCAGCCTGCCCCGAGTGCAAGGTATAGACCTTACCCTGGGAAAATTGCCTTTGGGGTCATGATATCTCCCCTGACGTTGGGCAGATATACTGATGGAAATTTACCATAAGTATAAGTTAGTATAATCCATCTGAATAAGATATGTGGTAGTGTGCATTGTGCTCATTCCTCTTCAGCGCAGACTCTCTTTCAAGTCATGATGAGCCACTACATTGAATACATTTTTACTTCCTCTTCACTCCAATAGCAGAGTTGCACTTTTCTTTCTCATTTGCAATTATTCCTGTTTCTTCACCAGCCTTAAACATCTGGCAAGCATCACCAAACAGGTCCCAAACAGTTCACCCAGAATCCCTCTCACGCCTCATCTCAGCTTGTCTCATACAGTTAGTGTGGCCCCACCCATCTTGAGGTAGAGGTGGACCAAGTTGTCCTGCATCTTATCTGCATATACATTTTTGGAGGACCCCAGGACTTTGACAAGAACAGCTGATTTCAGTCATTAGTGGTGGGCTAATTAACACATGGCTCCTTTTGTGGGGGATATTTGAAGTACCCACACATACTGAGCTGTGCTGAACTATGGGGGTCACCATAGCTTGAAATATTGTAGACTGCCTTTGGCTTTGTACAATATCACATATAGTTTACTTGGAGGCAACTGAACCCCAAGCTTCTGGGCTTGGGCCTGCACGTGGGATGCCTGCTAAAGGATTTGGAAGTTTCTGAAGCCCCAGGCCTGGGTGGAAGATACTTGCCAGTGGCAGGGCCACCTATGGTTCCTGAATGATTCAAATGGATTTGGACCTTATTTAGCTAATTTGACCTGGAACATGAAAAATTTTCCTTAAAAAAAAATTAAAATGTATATATTATATGTACTATATAAGGAGGCACAAAAGTGCTGTTGCTCTTTAACAGTGTGTTTTTTGATTAATTAAATATATTAATAATTTGACTGTATGTGAATTATTATAGGTAAGTTTATTTCAAAGTCAGTGGGTGTGTCTACATGAGATGCTAACTGTGTGCTAGTCTAATAACACTGTGCAGTAGGGTGCCGGGCAAAACCCATGCTAATATGCTACTACTGTACAGTAGTATTAAGCTACTGCGCAGTTAATGTCTGTAAAAACCCATGCACAAGTGCTACCGTACAGTAGCACCAGTTACTGCATATTGATTTAGTACTTGATTATCTAAGCACTAAACTTAATGCACAAAAGCTATATGTAGACGCATCCATTGTTTTCAAATTTGCTTCTCACTTCCATGTGTTCAGGGCAAGCAGGGTCTGACAGTAAAGGGGCAGGAGAGGGGCTGCAGGGGGAAGAAGGGGGGGGCATAGATTAAAGCAGTCCTCTGATCTCCCAAATTTATTTTATTTGCTATAGCAGTGGAAGGGGGACAAATTGAAGGCAAACCTCCAATAATTAGATTTGATTTCTGGAAAATTATAACGCATTTATACACTTTCTCCATATATAGAATCTAATTATTAGGTGGTCATCTTCTATTCAGGTAAATACAATACTTATGTATGTGCTTAATTTTCCACATGAGGGTAATTTCATTAACTTTACTGTGTATAAAATTAAGCTTCTGTATGAAGGCGTTGGCAAAATTAAAGGTGTTTCACTTCTGTCTGTTTTCTAATTTCTAAAATCAAATTGATAGATCATATAATGTCATTGACTTTTCATGCCAAAGCAGTGGAATATTAATACAGTGATGTAGAGAGAAACATTTAATGTGTGTTGGGGGGAAAAAATCATTAAGCAGTTGGAAAGGGACTTTTGACTTGTTTCTAATATTTTATTAAAGCCTTTGAATTGCTATCCAGCTTTTCGTAATAGTTAACTTGTTGCAGTGAAAATTTGAACACATTATAGAGGGTACAAAATGTTGGGAACGAAGCCTATGAAAATGAAACTATAATTATCAGCAAAATTACCTATGAACAGAACAGGTTCTGAGCTTGTGCATACAGTATACTGTATACATTTATATGCATGAACACAAACTCATAAACACCTTGAAATGTGCACAACGCTTACCACTTACAAGTGGGAATCTCTCTGGTGAACAAAAATGCTAAACTAACTGTTTTTGAAGAAGATGAAGACATAGAAATAAGACAAGAACTCTATGCTGGTATAATTTACTTAAATCTGATATAAAATGACCATGAGAATCAAAAGTTAATCTACACTGTGTAAGTTACACTGGTGTGTAGGTATCATTTGTCCAGTTCCATCATGGGGTAATCATTTGGTCTAAGGCAAACAGATTTTACCTTTTCCTTTGCTATCAAGTACCAAGGCACTGTAATAGCCACTTACTCTGAGCCATTGCCCCATAGCTGCTCATTTGTTTGCTCCAGATCCTAGTGTAATTTTCATCAGTGTACAAAGTCTATGTAATTTATGCCGCTACAAATGTGTTGCTTGTTCAGAGCCTTAGATGATTGGTGTGATACTTCAAGATTCTCCAGTGAAACATTACATAGAAGAGGTTTATTGTTAAACCCAACACTGAAAAATGCAAATTTTGTGAAGCCAGAAATTTTTCACAAAACAAGATTAGTCCAATGAAACAACTAACTTAAAAAAAATTGGGTGCAAAATGTTTTACGATTTCCTAAATGGGTTCCGTTTTGATATTGTCAAATCAGGAAATACCATTTTATTAAGTCACAATAATCTTTCAGTTTGAAAATGTAGTATAATTACACTAAAGGAGTTTTAAAAGACTAACATTAAATGAATATTATCTGACAATTATTAACATGTGGATGTGGAAATACTGAGTTCAGTGAAGGGCCCCAAACTAATCCAGGAACTGAAAAGCAAGCCTTATAACATGAGGCTGATAGGATCAGCCTATTAAGGAGAAGGATAAAGTGGCTGGATCCTTGTGTATTGGTACTTACACATAAAACCCATAGTTTAAAATGAAGGTTTTCAGTTTTGCTGACAAGTGCATAACAATGTCCAATGGCTGGATGCTGACTAGAAAAATTCACCTGAGAAATGAGATGCTAGTTCATAGGGATGAGGATAAAACACTGGGATATCTTAACAGTCAGTCTACTTGTTTCCCTGGTGCTTGAAGTCTTTAAATATCTTTCTGATAGGTAAGCTTTAATCCAGGTTGGGGCTAGGCATGGGCGACTGGTGCCTCCTGAGTCCGGGGGGGGGGCACCTGCCTCCCCAGCACACAGTCAGCGACTCGGGGGGGTCCCCCCATGGCTGATACCACAGGCCGGGGGGCGGGGGCATGGCCAATCCCACTGACCTGCAACTGGCAGTGGCGCGCCGCTGGCACTTCCAGGCATGCCACTGGCACTTCCAGGTTGGTGGGATTGGTCACGGAGGGACCACTTCTCCTAGTGCACTCTCTGGCCGGCGCTCTCGAGGGGGGCACCAGCACTCTTGCCTGCCCCCCTGCCTGGGAAAGCTGCTGTCAGGGGGTGCACCAGTGCTCTCAGGGGGTGCACGTGCACCTCCACATACCCCCTACATGTCGCCATTGCGGCTAGGTGTTCATGGCTGTCTCTCCTCTCCTGGACTATATGAATCTCTTAAATGTATTCTTTCTTCCACAGCCATGGGGAGAACAAGATTTCCTATTCCTCATAACACTCATACCACTGTCAGCTCTGCATTGAGACAGTGATTAATCAGATCTTTTGCTTTACACTTTCTGTTTGTTGCTTGTTAGGTCAGAAAGGATTTTTTATCTGTGGAGCAAAATTGGTCAGATGTATAGCATGGGTTTTTTTGATCTCTTCCAAAGCATCAGAGATTGGACAAAGCTGCAGACGAGATGACAGACAGGGTGGACCTGTTCTGTGATATTGTAGAGTTGTCTTACTTAGGCGACTGGTTGATGTGCTTAGCTTACATCCTCAGGGCCAAACAGCAAAAGATTTTAGGCCAGGAAAGGATTTTTTCCAAAGGTCGGATCAGATTGGGTCCACTCTCGGCAGCATGGGACATACCTTGCCTGCTGGGTTATCTTAGCATGTCTCACATAATTAGGTCCCTGACAAAGGACATAGTTATTGGTGCTACCTTGGTCTCTCAAATTTCCTGCATAACACATGCAGTAATTTAGTCTTGATGACCTTAGTTTAGTTTAGTTTCAACAACCAAAATACTTTAATTGAACTAAAGTCATTGGGCCTAATATTTTTATTTAATTATGTATTTATTTATTTGTTTGTTTGTTATGGGTTTCCAAGGCAAAATTCCATGGCCTGTGATATACTGGAGGTAAGGCTGAATGACTGAATGGTTCCTTCTGCCCTGCACCTCTATGAAATCTACAAAGCCTGGGCCAAACTTTACATATCCTGGCTCTTAGCCAAAGTTATTACAAAACAGATGGACTTTACTCACACTGGGAACAGCTGAACTCAGACAGAAATAATATGAAAAGCTTGCTGCTTCAACAGAGAAAACACAAATAAATATTACTAATCTGTTTTGGTCCCAGGGTACATACCAAGCATCTGTGATATACTGAATTTACCAAAGTTAATTTCATGACTTTTCATAAATACTGTCAAGTTATGTATCCTTTATTGAACTGGTAAGTTTCACTTACCAGAGAAGTTTGCTATTATCATTATTATACCACTATCTCTAGCATATCTAATCAATACATTATTATTTTTTTACTGTGAAATAAAATAATCACTTTTTAACAACTGTTGTTAAAGGTCTGTCATCACTTTTAGTTAGAGGATTGGAACTTAGTTATAAAATATTACTGAAACCTAAATCTTGGTGTACAAATCCCAGGTATATTAATGATGATGTATCCTACATGATCCTTCTAGCCAGTAGATTACCTGGAAGAAATATTTGGGCTAAATACAGACATTCAGAAAGCCTCTGACAGATGTGCTATAACTGTTGCACTTTACTTAAAGTGCTATAAGTTAGAGTGGGAATAAACTGAACAGACATTTGCTGTTTGGTGGGGGGGATTTGATGCCTGTCTGGGCTGGCCAATGCCAGCATGCCAGGGGCACTCCTGCATGCCTCCAGGGAAGCTGCCAGAGCCAGCCCCACCCCCCTAGCCTGGGACTTCCCACACTGCTTTTTGCTGGGCCAGGATGGAAAGGAACCCTGCCTGCCATGCAGACCCAGCCTGGCCTCCCCCGCGAAACCCTAGCCAGCAAGCTGAGGGGAAGGGGCTTTTATGGCAGGGGGCCTCCCTTCCTGCCTGGCCCCAGTTCCTGGTGTGGCAAAAAGCCAGCTGGGCACCCCCACACTGCAGCTCATGGATGCAGCTGTTAAAAGGCTGGGGCAAAGGTGGGGTGGGGAGTGAGCCCCTCTGCCATGCAAACCTAGCTCAACCCCCACCCAAGACCCCATACAGAAAGCTGTGGGGGGCCTCCCTTTTCCTCCACCCCCAGCCTCGTGACACCTACAGCCAGGAGCTGTATTATACAGCTGCCTTGCTGGTTTTTACCATGTTGGGAACTGGGACTTAGCGGGGAAACAAAGCCTCTCTGCCATGCAGACCCTATCCTGCCGTCCCCAAGACCTGAGCTCACAAACTTGGGGGGGGAGCAGGGTGGAATCCACACATCAGAGAAGCTGTGTTTCCCCACCTCACCGCATGGCTGAGCAGGGTGGAGACAAGCCTTTTCTGTCTTCCCTTTGTGACAGCCTGGGGGCAGGGCTAGGCTGCTGCTTGCTCAGAGCAGATGGGCGCCAGCCCAGACTAGTAAGCCACCCAGTGAGGGCTCCTGGGATGACAGCAGAATGCAACCTGCATTCAAGCACAATAGATGTAGTACAGGCATTCAAAAAAGTGTTCTAACCTAAAGCACTTTAGTCTCATACTGCATCCATCAAGGGTTAACTTAGAGCAGGATCTGCCATTTTAAAGTGCTTTGAGTGCTGTGAATATCTGTTCTGTTATAGCTTTGAATTGCTTTCTGTGCACTTAGTGCATGTTAAGTGTACCTACCCTCAGTTGTACCTACCTTCAGTTTCAGCTACTCATGTCTGACTTGCGCACAGTAAATATTTGTGCATACACATTTGATAGTATTTTTCTACACATTTAAGGGGTTGTGCATATATAACACTTTTTAACTACTTTGTTTGAACAAAGGCCATTTTTATACAGGCACAAGTCATCCTCCATTTTTTAAAATGTTGGCTCTCTAAGACTTCCAGCAGATGCTGTTGAAACAGTTTATTGAGGCTGAAGGTAGCACTGACAACTCCTAGGAAAGGAATTATACAGCTCAGCAGTGGAAGGGTGATATTGCATTCTATTGATTCCTAGTCTGACCCAGGCAGCCCATAGCTGGTACGAAGGATACCACTGAACTCTCATGTATCTACCAAGAATATGAGCTCTGTAACATAGGAATGGTTTAATCCTGGGTGGGGCACAAACACGAATAGTTATAAAATATGTGGGCTCTAAAATTCAGGGGTTTGTGTTCTGGGGGAGGATTTTATGGACGGTTAGCTATTTTGAGTATTTTCAGGTGTAATGTCTTAGCTCTGTTTTAAGCCTGGTGAGCAGTTAAATGTTTCATTGGCAGTGCAGTTGTGGTGGAAAGACAGAGTGGGGCTACTGACTAAGGGTATGTATAGATGTTCACGGTACTTGATCTAAACTCACACAGCTTACTTAAAGCCATATAATCATAGATTGGGTCTGACTTGTGCACAAGTTTGCCAGTGCCAGCAACATGATCCAAGTTGGGGTGAGTGGGATCAGGGTGGAGTTGGCAGGTTTGGGGGGCTCGTGTGTCTTGTGGGGGTATCTGCAAGGGGTTGTCTTTCTGGGCATGAGGGGCTAAAAATATCCCAGTCAGGGGTAGGAAGAGTGCATTCCCAGGGCTGGGTTTTCCCATCCCCAGGGCTACGCTCCAGTGTGTGCAGACATTCGTTAGATCAGACCAGTCATTTTTTGTCTGATGAAACTCCCTGAACATCTGTACAAATGAGCACTTAAATCAACCTAACCTAACCTTACTTATGTTGATCTAAGTGTAACATCTGTGCATACCCATAGTTATACCAATAAAAGTGCTAGAATAGATATGATTATATTTATAGAAACTTGCTTTTACCAGCAAGTTTTGGTAAAACTTACACTGGTACAGCATATGTACATGATTCCAGTATTATGAACTTTTATAGTGATATAAATTATGTACATGCTAATTGGTTTTGCCAGTTTAGCTATAGTAGCAAAAGTCTCTTTATATAGACACAACCAGAATTTCAAGGTAGTTAGTCACATGTTATTTTATTTCTTCCAGTTTATTATGGGAAATTGTGTATAAATGTTATCTTAAAATCTTTAAAAATAGCAGCATGATGTTTTCTAAGTTTAGATCCAAACCACTCTTGTATTTATTTCCCCCCCTTAGAAATAATTAATTTGTGTGAAAATGTCCTTCTACTCAGTTTGAAGCAAAATGAGGAAAATTACCTATTTTGGTATGTATGCCAGCTAGGTTGCCAATTTCTTGGCAAGCGACTGTCATTTTCCTCCTGACATGGTTCTTAGAGTACTCTTCAATAAATGGCATCCTTCCTCATTTTTTTCTGTTATTATATATGCAAAACTCAAATGTAACTTTCCATTTAGGTGATTGCTGAGGAATTATCTGGCAATGATGACTATGTTGAACTTTCATTCAGTGCACGGAAATTAGATGACAAGGTAAGCTGTTTGATATTAACCTTATTGAAAGAAATAAGAATGCCTGCAAATATAATTTAATAAGGTTTCTTTCCTTGCAGCTATTTTTTTTGCCTGACGTTATTAAACACATCAGAGATTTCAGATCAATGTTCACAATGAGGCTTTCCTCAAGTTGCGAAGTAATTAAAAAAACTCAAGGGAATGTAATTAAAACCAAGACAATTTAATTATGCAGAGACCTCATTTATTTAAAATGCCACAGATCAGAAGTGCTTAGATAAATGAGCTTTTTACAAGTAGTCAAAGATGTAATATTCAAACTAAGTATCTGAAAATAAAGCTGGAAAATTTCAGATCATTTTATGCATCATACATGTTTTGTTCAGCAAATTATCTGATGTTTGAGAAACGGTTGCTTTAATATTTCCAAAAACTTTCTTTCGTTTAAATAGATATCTAAGTATGGACTAAAACCCATCTCTTCATTGTGGAGGGCACCTTTATCTTCCAATGTTAACATTGTTATTAATAATACTTAAATAATATGTTACTTCTATATAGCAACATTCACCCAAAGGACTTGGAACACTTTCCAAGCGTGGTATACCTTCAAATATCTAATGATCTAATATAATTGAACGTATTTAATTATTTCAAGTAATACAGAAGATATCATTGTAATTAATGGATGCCAGGTGGCCATGACCTTCCTAGTATAACAGGGATTTTCAGATAATTGAAGATCAGATAATCGCCATTGCACTAAGTTTAATACTTCCAACACTAGAATATACACCTGCTTGGGTGCAGATCAGGAACATACATTTACATTACAGAACAGTTTGACAGAAAATGCTGGGATTGCTGCAAATGTTTATGTGCATGTGTAATTTTCTCAAGTAAGTTGCACAGTCAAATCAGAATAGAGTTGCCTAGGTGCAGAGTGCTTTCAGGTTTGTAAATTAAGAGGAGAAGAACAATCCGTACAGCTGAAATCGCCAAGAAAATTGGATAGCCAGGATATAATTAACACAATTGGAATTTTATTAGGACACAAACGCTAATAATATCCCTGCGTTTAGAATCCTTAATGACTATAAATTATCAGGACCTTCACTTGTGTCCCATCTAAAAGAACTGTCCTCTCCCTGAGAGTTTCTGGCTTCTCAGCACTTTTAAAAATTAGATCATTTCTTTAGGTGCCCCAAAGTGGATTTAAAACCATAACTTTAGGTTCTTATTTTTAACCAAGTTGGCAGGTTCAATCCCTGATTCAACTAGATGATCTCTTGAGGTCCCTTCCAGCCTTACTAATCTATGAATCTGTGAAAACCATGCTTTAAAAATGCCATGTTCATTTAGCTGTAGGTCTTACTGTTATGTAAACAAAAGGAGTGGAGTGGGGAGAGAATACAAGGTATTTATCCAAGCATTTCCTGCTACAAGTATGCCATAGAGACTAGTAAAGACAACTTCATAATGAAGACAATGTTTATGGCTCATATGAGTCCAGTTAAATTGTTTTATTTAAGGTGATTTTCAGTGCTATATTTATATATGCCTCTTGGAAGCTTTAGGACATGTCTATGCCACAAACTTAACCTTTCTGACAGCAGTGCTGTCAACCTGTGCTCAGCACTTTGCTTCTAGTTTAAAAGGCAGCTCATGTGGAACAATGCAGAGTGCTTAAGGGGATGCTTCCTTACACAGTAGTATGCTTGCAGTGTAGAGAAAAAGACTCTTAAGCACAGGTCACCTGTTTATGAGCAAGGTATAAATAATACAGGGTCCTTATGAGTCATACAAGAACATTGTGGCAGATGCCCTTTTCATGATCTGTCTGAATTACTGGATCTCTTAATCTCCTTTGGTTGAATTATCTATTGGAACAAGCACAGGACTGAGAGTCAAAAACTTAAATGAGCCAGTGATTCATTGGTTACCAGAGATTGGTATAAATTCATGCAGGTCCACTGAAATCAATAAAGCTATGTCAAGTTTGCACTGCCTAAGGATGTAGCCCTAAGCTGAACCTTAGGGCTAAGTACAGACAGTCAAAAAGCCTGAGGCTGAATTGGTTCAGTCTTTGCAGGTTAATCTAAACTGCAAAGCTTGAACCAATAAGCAAATGAATGGACATTCACTTTTGATTCAGGAAATGCAGCTATGTTAGGAGCTGGGGGGCACTAGAGCATGACTCTCTGACATGTAGTCAGCAGGGGCTGTGTGTTTTCTTCCTCTTACTGCTGCCTCAAGGTCTCTGGGATTAGCAGTCCAGACGCACAGTAGCAGGATTTTGCAGGGTTGCTTATCAATTCCTCTTCCTGCTTCCAGGTGCCTCTGGGATTTGTAGTTCACAGTCACAGCCAGCACTAAGTAAATAGGGCAGGACGCCCTAGATTCCAGCAGGGGTTTGCCTAGGAGACGAGGGGCCAGTGAGCCGGCCAGTGCTCCAGCCCTCGCTGCTTCAGCTAGGGAGCAGAAGGGCAGGTCCAGCCCTGCTCTCTGGAACAGACAGCACAGCCCAGCCCAGGGCTGCAAAATGCTGAGATGATGGGGGTCTGTGATTTAACTTGAACCAGGAAGGGGTCTGGGTCAGAAGTTTCATAAACCGGTTTGACCCAAATCAGTTAAGTCTGATACTACACTCAACCAAGTTTATCTTAAACCAGTTTCAGCCATTTTCAAACTGGTTTATGTGCACTGAATTTATATTCCGTTACAGGTTTAAACCAGTTTCTGATCACTTAAACTGGTTTATGTGTAACTTCTGTCCATAGCCTAGGAGAGGGCTACCCATTACAATGAAGTTCTGTGTAGATAAAACCCAGTTAGCTCTGAATGAGCTACCTTGGGTACTGGAAGCAGGGAAATATACCCTGCTTTTCAGCAATGCTACTTAATCTGGGGAGAATGCTGTCTTGACTGGATTAAGTAGCATTGCTGAAAAGCAGGGTATATTTCCCCAGACAGATTGCCATGCTTATGTGGCTATACTGCTTCTTTTGTTTTAGCATATATTACACTATTAATAAGGCAGGAATTTGCTGCTTATTGGGGCTGATGGTGTTAGAAAGTCTTATTTGCTAGGCTGCTTAGCTCACTTAATTAGAACCATCATTAGGTGTTACAGGCTTTATATAACCCAGATGATTTAGCCGGTAGTCTATAATGATTCCATCCTAGCCACAGGAGACTATTATATAAATATATAATTATAGATATAATTTATTTGCTAGTTCATGATGGTTCACCCCATTGCTATTCAGAGATGTAAAAATTCATAGATCAATGGCAAGATAGACAAGCATCATAGAATCATAGGAAAGTTGGGCCAGAAGGGACATCAGGATGTCATCTAGTCCAATCCATTGCTTGGAGCAGGATTATCTCTGTCTAAACCATCCTAGACAAGTGTTTGTGTAACTGGCACTTAAAAACTTCCAGTGATAGAGAATCCAAGCCTCTCTAGGTCATCTGTTCTGGTGATGAACCACCCTTTTAATTATACAGTTCTTCTTAATATCCAATCTAAATCTCTCTTCCTGTAGTTTAAGACCATTACTTCTTGTCCTGTCCCCTGTGGACTCTGAGAGCAATTGATCTCTACCATCTTTATAGACAACCCATTATATATATTTAAGGCCTTCAAGTCCTGTTTAAAATCCTCAGAAATTGATACCCCCAAATCTACAAGAAACCACAGTTACCACAATAGGCCATGTCCTTCCATACATTTCTGGCCACAGACAGCTTTCTCAACCAGGTGCCAAACTGCAGCTGTAAATGCTTACCAGGAAAATTGCTGAGAAAAATGAGGCAACTCAGGACAACTTAGGCACGTCCGAGGTTTTGCCACTACTGTGCTGTGGGAGTGTTTTGGATTACAGTTTTGGCCTTGGGCATCTAACACTCATCTAAGTTCTGTCGCCTAAGTTCTGTTTATGACCCCAACGTTTTTTATATTTTTACATCTAGCTCTAGTTTTTACAGTGCTTAGTACTGTAACACCTAAGTCCCTTTTGGTATTTGCCCTTAGTTCCCTTTTAAAATATCAGCCTTTGTTGAAAAGACAAAAGATCAAAAAATAAAATTAAGAACAACCTGCCTTAACTATAAGTGACATTCCCATTTGAATGATCAGCAAATGTAACAAAAAAGAATGAAGGAAAAAAAAAAAGAAAGAAAAAAAATTGACATAATTATAATAGAAAAACAAAATGTTAACAGCATATTTCTGGAAGATAATAAAAGTGAGTTTGTTGCTAGTTTAATAAGCAGCAAAGGTTTTTCATAAAGCTTCAGTGGAGATTGAGGACAACAGAATAAGTGAAGCAAACTCAATTTCTTTTTTAAAGGGATGGCTGTAGCATCTCATGCAAAACTATAAGGCACTGGCATATGTCAGAATTTGCCCTCATTGGGTAAGGGTGAACAGAAAAAAAAGATAGCATTTTTGTAGAAATATGTGTCTGGAAGGCACAGTTACATATCTGTGTTTTATTGAAGCCCACTTAGTTCAGATGGCTCATCTTTGTTTCAAGAGATCCGCTGAGACTTCACAGTAAAACAATAACTTCCCGAATGGTTACATTGAATTAGTAGTTATGTCACAATTACTGTAACAAGCAGTTACATTTATTGAATGCTGCAATAAATGTTGCAGGGTGTAGGTTGTAGCCATGTTGGTCTAAGGACATAGGCAGACAAGGTTCCTTGGGTGAATTTGATATCTTTTATTAGACCAACCCAAATAGTTGGAGAATAGTTATTAAGTAAACTTTCGAGTTCAAAAACCCTTCATCAGGCTAAGGAAGTTTCAGCAGTTGGTGTGTGCTCTTCCTGGATGGAATGAAAAGCAAACAAGCCAGGGGCTGGGCTGGGCTGGGCTGGGCTGGGGAGTCAGTTGCCAGGCAGATTATAATGTATCAAAAATCCAATGTCTATGTTTAGTTCATGATCTCTAGAATCCAGCAGGTTGATGAAATGGAGCTCATAGGCTCGTCTCTGGGAAGTGTTTTGTAGGTTTCCTTTGAGGATCAGGACTGAGAGATTGGAGAGAGAATGGTTTTCTTGTGAGATTATTAAAAGTGAAATTGTTGTGTGTGAGGATGAAGTGTATAAGGTCATCAATATCTTTGGGCCTGTATTCTGAGTTGTAATCTTGTTCCTGTAGATATGTAAGGCAGGCTTGGATGCCATCCTGGTGTGGGATGTTGGTATATAGGCTGGTAACATCCATGGTGGCTAGGAGTGTGTTGCTGGGAAGGTGGTCTATGTTTTTAAGTTTCCGTAGAAAGTCTGTAGTGTCTTGTACAAAACTTGCTCTGTGGGTGACAAGC